TTTACAGTGTAAAAATTGCTTTGTAATAAGCACACAACTCCTAAACCTGCACAAATACTTCATGAGAGGCATAATTCAAGGTAAATATTATACATGTATATATGGACACACCAAATCCTTTATGAGCACAAGAAACAAGAAAAAAAATTTGCAAAATATATTCATCAATTTATGTTGATAATAAAGTTTCTTTTAAAAAGAATTGGCCTTAATAGCTCATCACATTTGTTCCAATGAAATACTTGATGCATAGACAAACCTTTTCTATGGGACTCAATGTATGTAATCTAAGATGACATAATACTATTTACAAATTTCCTAATCATTAATAGGCTAATTTACTGGGAAATCAGTTTGTTGATACAAATTAATAAGCAAAGGACAAGGAGCATCTCATATATAAGAAATCTTTCATCAATAAGTCTGAGTTTGTCCTCTAACTTGGTTTCATCAAGTATTGAGAGGTAGATAAGTTTGCAAATAGCAGGATTATGGAGCCCATTCACAGATAAGTATGGTTATCTAAAGGTAACAAAAGAACTCCAAGCCTAATTTTTCTCATTCAGTGATTATGCCTTGGCATACTTACGCACACACACTCACACACACACACACACACACACACACACATAATTTTGAACTCAATTAATTTTTTTCCTTTCTTCAACCAAATATAAAGGTAGATGGATATATGGTTAAAGAACAGCCAAAGATGTAAGTACGATACTGCTAGTTGGACATCTTAGTGCCCTAATTTTTACTTTTCTCAGCTTCATGTAATCCTATGAAATAAATTATGTTTATATAAACTAAAATTGGTAAAAAACCATAAGGTTTTATAAAGGCCTTTTGGGGATTTAACCATAATAATTAGAAGGCAACAGTGAGTCATTTCTTTTCATGTATAGATAAAGCATTATTAAAATGAATTATCTGGGGCTGGGGCTGGGGCTCAGTGGTAGAGCGCTTGCCTTGCACACATGAGGCACTGGGTTAGATCCTCAGCACCACATAAAAATAAATGAAGATATTTTAAAAAATGAATTATCACATTTTAGTATCATGCATCAAAATTAGCTGTCTCAAATGTATTCTAAATCCCTAGTACTCTTCCTAGCTCTCGGGCATCATTTTCTTCCTAGATAAATTAAGTTCCCCAAACAAAAGCTTCTTTAAAGTTAAAAAAAAAAAAAACTGGAATTTAAGCAATATTATATGCTTTTTTAATATAAAATAAAAATAAAATTTGGGCTTGAGTGTACATCAGTGGTAGAGCACTTGTCTATCATGGGTTCAATTCCTAGGACCACAAGGGGAAAAACAAAAAGGAAATAAAAACAAACCAGGTTGGGATGTTAGATTCTCAGGTAGAGATTATGTCACTGCACCATACACTATGATTTTATTTAAACAAATAATTAAATATAACTTTCTGGGATAAAAATAATATGTTGTGTTTTGTTATTGTAGAGACTTTTAAATAAAATCCACTGAAATATTACCATGATTAAGTGAGCTGATTGGTGAAGATTCTCTTTGGAACCATATTATAGTCACTTGGTGGCCTTTGTCCATAAAGGTATTCACTTGTGCTCATCAGCATAAGAACAGGACAATTAAAGGCTCCATTTATTCAAAGAAGTCCACTGAAAGTTAGTGTAATATTTAAGAATATTATAAACTGCTAGAACAAACTAGCAAATTTGAAAATGAAAAGATTGTGGATATAAATGTATTCAGGAAGAAACAGGGGGAAAAATAAGGGAAGAATAAAAAGAAGGGAGGGAAGAAACCATTCCAGATTCCAGGAGAAGAAAAGAGTATGATGACTTCCTAACACTTAATGTAAACATATGTAAAATGTTGAAATCCTTCAGTTTTCCTAATAATGTATAGAAAGGGACTCCACTGAAGCACTGAACTGACCCTTAGTGTGTTACTCTATGGCTTGCTCTTTGGAAAAATACAGGTTATAGTTATGTATGTATGTGGGATAGGTAATTTGAAATTACCTATCAAACAAGGAAGACTGGATTGATGATGTGGAGTTGACATAAATTCAGATAGTCTTAATAATTTTTTGAAACATAGAAAGTGAAAATAAAAAAGAGAGGGGCAAAATTTTCTCAAGTTGTTTAAAAGGGAACAATTATATACTCATAACTATACATTTGACGTAAAACCTCAGACTAAATAAGTAAATGTTATAAAGGAGCACAAGAACAAATCATGTCAAGCTCACCAGATGTTCTGAACAAATCATGTTGTATTATCAGTTAGGTTATATGGGGGAATAGATAAATATACCTTATAGTCGGCAAGGAATTTAAAAATACATATTAAATATCTTGTGAATAATGCAGTTAACTGAGGTTGTACTGGTGGATGGTTTTTCAGCTTTACCATAATGTCAATTAACTGTGGTGTGCCTCACTTGGGGGGAAAAGACTCTAAAACTGCCACACTGCAGTTTTAACAGTGGCTCAATATAAGTGACAAAAATTTGCAGGTAACAAAATGCTGGAACCAGTAAAGCTAAAAAGAAGAGGTATGATGATAAAAAGTTAAGTCAAACTGCATCAGGCACACTTAGAATCATAATACATATTTGATGAAGAAAATGAGTTCATTAATTGAGCCAATAATTGATGTTTATTGAGGTTATTGACCTACATTTTAAGTAAAAAATAACCAGAAAACATAAATAGCATACCGGTAGTGAGATTTTATTTCATCTCACATATTGAGATTTTCTCTCTTTTAACTAAAATTCTAAAATTCAAAATCTTTGAAAACTGAGAGTTTTGTCCTAAGTTTCTCACCAAAATACACTTCAAAGCAAAACCTGAGAAAAACTTTAGTCTTTATTTTTTTCCACTTGTAATAACTAATATAATTAGTATATTATAGCAAAATGCCTAAATAATGTGATTATGAAATGTTGTTTTATATATGATATAGACTATATCAGACTCCTAAAATCCAAAAATTTTTGAATTTGAAATAATTTGACCTCAATATTTAGAGTAAAACTCTTTGAAATCATCATAAATAAAAAGCACAAACAAAATGCTGAAAAACAAAAGAAAGAAATCTTTAAAATAATAGAAATGGAAGCATTACTCATCAATTATAGAAAAATAAATAGCAACCTGCTGGGGCAACATGTGGAATATTCTATAAGAATAATGCTAAATTTATCTTTTGTCTAACAAAGTGCCTGGTACATGTTAGGCATGAGATAAATATTTGTTGAATGAATGAATGATTATAACGCATGATTTTAAAAAGCAAATATGCCAATTTATCCAAATTCAAAACTTTCCTCTATTTCCAACTAATCTTTCTGATTTTAACCTCCAACCCTGAGACTATCTAGCAAGCCACCACTCCCTAGGTACTTAGCTACCTCAGTGACCAATCGCTACCTGTTGAAAACTACCTATTTTCTAAGACAGAAAACCTATATTTATAAAGAAGCTTTATCTAATCTTTCCAGGAGAGTTAATCTCTTCTACTACACATTTTACTATGCCCAATATACTTAAATATAAATCCAATATAAATATAAATTCCAATGTAAATCTTATTTTTGTGCATGTCTTGTTTTCCAAACAAATTTTAGATTTCTTAAGAGCAAAGACGATTCTGCACCACACCCCTCATTTTTTATCTAATGCCATTATTTATGCCTATTTATAATTCAAAAATTATCAAAACTAAAAATTATCAAAATTTATAAAAAAATGTATAAAAAATTATCAAAATTAGTATGAATGATGAAAGACTAACTAAATTTTACTCATGATAGTTAAAAGAACATATAAAGTTCCGGCAAGATAGTTGGGAGGGCTGCTAGTTTTATCTCGAGGGTTAGCTCAACACAGGCTAGCATTTCATAGGGTGGAAATCACTGAACAAATGAAACAGTTTCTAATCCCAGGAAAGAAAACTAAGATGATGCATGAACAATATTTAAAGCAAAATATTTAAAGTAAAAAGTCTAACATGTTATAGAGGAAGAGGAATTATTATATGTTGCTCCAAAGCATGACTCCAGATCACACATGAATTTAAACGAAGGCATGAAATCTCATTATATAAAAAGTTTCTATTAAGAATCATAGTGAATTGGGCTGGGGATGTGGCTGAAGCAGTAACGTGCTCGCTTGGCATGCGCGGGGCACTGGGTTCGATCCTTAGCACCACATATAAAATAAAATAAAGATGTTGTGTCCACTGAAAACTGAAAAATAAATATTAAAAAATTCTCTCTCTCTCTCTCTCTCTCTCTCTCTCTCTCTCTCTCTCTCTCTCTCTCTCCCCTCTCTCTCTTTAAAAAAAATTATGAACATTATTGTGTTTCTCAAAGAAACCCAACTATTATTATATTTGAAAAAGTTGGGGAGAAATTTTCTTACATTGATACAATAGGGAATAGTGTAAATTATTAAAGAAATTCTAAAACTAGGAAAATTCTAGCTAAATTTTCGATATTAAAAAAAGACTTAAAAATACATATGTATACATACCTGTGTGTGTCTGTACCCATGTATCACTAGTACAGATTTTTCCACTGCTTTAGAGACACTTTCCCTTACAAAGAACTTATTTATTAAAGCAACTGTGGTTGAGATATTTTCTGTAGGTCTCATTGCTACTACATGCTAAAGAAAATCCTCAGCTACTCATTCCCAGTCTGTTGTTCCCACCAGATAAAAAACTCAGAACATGATGTCTTCAAAGGCATAAGTATGCATTCAAATGATCACAGTTATTGTGAATTACTTGAAAAGGGACTGGTGTGAACCTGTAGATGGGAGATGCACTCTAACAGTAACCTGGTAAGCAGCCTATGTAAAGGAAATCTGTTCTAGGCAATGCTAACCCCTTCCTTGCATGGAATAAGGGCTTTAACATTAATTCCGCAGAATATTCCAGTACTTCCATTATCCTGGTACAGCAGTCAACTGTTTACCAGCACATTCCCCTATACAAACCTCATCTCCTTCCTGAGGTCGCATCAAGGAAACCCGGTCATACTGCCGCCGCAACAAAGCCCAGAGTGCATCAAGAGGACCCTAAAGAAAATGTGATTTGTTATTCAACTCACTGAAAAAGTGAAAAAGTAAAGCAAAGAAGGTAAAGTCTTATTCTCTACTTTTATTTTTTTCCACAAATTAATTAAACAAACAAAATCTTGGAGGTTCTTATGCTGAGAAAGTGTTTAGTTGTTAGAAAGTTAAATGAATACTCATTTTACAATGATCAAGCTTCTACTTGATCCACCATAGGCCTTCTTCAAATGATGGGGGACTGTAAAAGCTATAGTTTCTCTAGGAGACTTAAGTTAAAAATTAGGATACGTACCTTAATTGGTGCATACCACTTTGTCTGTGGAGGCTGGTAAGTGGGTTTGGGTCTAGGTGGCCTAGGCCTGATGGGTTCCTCTTCTTCAGGAATCTTCACCACAGCATTTTTGGCTTTCTCTAACCTCGCACCTTCCTCAGTAGATCCTTTATCACCCCAGCGAACCTTTAAAACAAAGGGGACACTGCTGTCAGAGAGAACGTGGCCTAAAGGAACAAGCTCTTCTGTATCCCATGATCCTCTGGCTCACTAGCTCAGAGTAAAAAGATGAATCAGTACATCAATTCCTAATAGCTACTCTTCCAAGACTTAATAGATTTCTTGACACTCCCAATTATATTGATTATTAAGATCCTAGACAAAAAGATTCTTTTAAAAATCTAAAGTCAATTAAATTTGAAATAACCTTTCTCCACATTTTCAAAAAAGGACTCAATTTGTGGTTTACATAAAATGCATGACAGTGTGTATTTCTGTTTTATAATTAGGTAAGTTAGATTGATAATGATGGCAGCATTTACTGAGTTACTGCTATGTGTCAGTCTGCATTTAATTAACACAAAAATGCAATGAGGGCTGGGGTTCTGGCTTAGAGGTAGAGTGCTTACCTAGCATGTGTGAGGCCCTGGGTTTGAGCCTCAGTACCACATAAAAATAAAATAAAGATATTGTGTCCACGTATAACTAAAAAATAAATATTAAAAAAATGCAATGAGACAGATACTATTTCCTTCCAGATGAGGTTAAGAGATGTGCCCCAAACCATACAACTAGTACATGGCAGGGCAAGGATTTAAGCATAGGCAATCTGAAATGGGTTAAATTTCAAATAAACCTGAATTTTATGATTGTATTTTATAAGAAGGAGCTATTTATTCAGATTTTTTCATCAAGTTAAATGAAGGCAAAAATTTTTATTTAAACATTTAGTTTTTGAAAGTAAAGTAAGTATGTATAAGATTACTTCTGTAAATTTTTACTTGGTAGAATAGCTTTTAGTCTTTAGATGAGCATAAGCTCATCTCAGTATGATTATTTGACAAGCAAATTTTTCATTAACAAAGATGAATTGGAAAAACCTCTGCTTTGAAGAGAATATTTCAAAGACACCAGGTAATTCCACAAATTTTAGGGAATTTCCTTCTCTGAAATCTCTTGACTTTGAAAAACCACCAGATCAAATTATTGTTTTCTTTATTTTTTCAGTGAACAGAAATTAAGGGATAAACCTGAATCAAACTAGGCATATGAATAGGATGTGGCCCCTAGGGAAGGACTTTGTCCAAAAGGAAGTAGAGAGAAGTCCTACAAAAACATTACCAAAGTCAATGAAGATAAGAAAAGTCAAGTTCTAAAAAGAAATACAAACCCCTATCCAGAGCACAGTATGACATACCACAGCTAAGTGATTCCTATAAAGGAAAAAAAAATTAAAGTCTTTTAAAGCATTTTAATGACCTGAATTAATGGGTAGGGATACAGATGATTATTGTTCATAGAAAGAACTATTCAGAGCTTTTTGGTAAGGCTTACAGAGATGTTTTTACTTTTTTTTTTTAACTACAATTTTAGAATGGGCTTTCAATTCAAGTGGACCCTGTTCAGTCATTAAAATGTATCTGTATCTTTCAGTGTGATCAATGGTACTAGAATGTTCTTTATGAGGTTGTTAAAATTGTTTTAAACGCCATTAAACTTATTGAGCTAGATAGCTGGCTTTCTTTCCAGAGAAATGACCTTCTCTTTCAAATCAGTGTCTTCACCTAGATAAACTAACACTTATAAAATCTTTGGACATGAATAAATCCAGGACACATTCCCCACAGATATAAAGTTGCAATTTTGAGGAAGAAACAAAAGCAAAAAGAAAAATTCAAAGGAGATATACCGTTAAGCAACGTAAGAATGTCATAACTCAGGGAAGTAATTCAGAGTAGAAATGTAAGTAGATAAAATGTAGATTCACTCATAAATGATAGATTTTAACATATACAGTTCCCTAGCCTATGCTTCATAGTTGATAATCATAAAGGTCAACTATTAGTAGAACCGTACTCAAATAAAATGTGAAGCTAGTTGAACTAGCATTCTGAACCAATGTGGCACATTGAATTAATGGTCTCATTATCAAAGGACTATATGTAGGACACAGAGTTGATGAGGTCTAAAGAGATGAATCAGATAAATTCATTAGCTTTGGTTCACCATCACCATCAGCACAAACACCACCACTAACAAATATCACTCAGTCTCAAAGTCTAAAACTAGGAAACACTTGTAGAGGTTTCCTACAACTCCTAAAATTAAGAATCTATACACATATGTATATGTGTAAATATTAATGTTTTAGTTTGATCACATTGAGATAATTTAAAAATACAATGGAATAATAGGAGTAGGTTGTTAGAGTGAGCCTGAGAAGAATTAAAGATATTTAGGGTTTTTAATATGGAAAAAAAATAGCTTGCTACTTAAATTTACCTGTTGAGCATAAGTTAATTGCTATAGTTTGTATGTGAAATGTCCCCTAAAGGCCCAGGTGTTAAACGGTTCATCCTCAGCTTAGGGCTTTTGGAAGGTTGGTGGGACCCTTAGGTCAGTAGGGGTGTGCCCTCCAAGGTACTATGGGACATTCATCTCTTCCTCTCTCTTTTTACTACTTGGCAGCTTTCTCTACAATACACTCCTTACCCGAATGTTCTGCCTCAACACTGACCCAAAAGTAACAGAGGGTACTGACCATGGACTGAAACTGTGAGCCAAAATAAACCTTCCCCCTTTTAAGTTAATTTACCTTGGCTATTTGTTATGTTAACAGAAAGCTAACAGAAATTATTCTTCCATTTCACTAAGGTTCCATTCAGGGATTCATGCATATTATTTTCTTTAGAACACTGGAATACTGGACTAACAAAAATCTGATATTTCTAATATCTTCAGCAAGAACACTATACTTATTGAATTAAGGCCCACTTAATAATATACCCCTCATTCTCATGTAGTATGCTACATATTTGGATTTCATATGGACCAAATTTATTATTATGAATAGAAAAGAATAAATGAGCATTACAAAATACAGAGAAGTATATACCACACATCAAAAATTACTCCATTTGGAGACTCCTACTCACATTTTTTAGTGTATTTATCCTATTCCCCCAGCCCCCTATATCTTGGGATGCAGATAAATAAGCTAAAAGCAGTTCTGTGGTGGGTCATCATTGGACATTCATTTGTGAGGACTGTTTAGATGAGCATAAGCTCATCTCAGTATGATTATTTGACAAGCAAAATTTTCATTAACAAAGATGAATTGGAAAAACCTCTGCTTTGAAGAGAATATTTCAAAGACACCAGGTAATTCCTGGTGACAATATAAATGCATATTTCATACACATAGGAACATCAGTCCACTCTTGCCCTACTTCCCCATCCCTAGGATGACACCAGACCAAGGCAAAGGAAAATAATCCTCCTCTGTGTCAAACAAAAATTAGTATGACTATGTCTTCTTGGACTGCTGAAATTCCCAATCACCAACATGCAAACACATCTGCAATATCTTCTCCCAAAGACCAACTTAATATCTTCTAGCACTTGCCTTTTACTGTGGCTTATTGACAACTACATACCCATCTCAAAGGATATTTCAGCAATGAGTGGCAAGCTCCTAGGGAAAACATGTATAGTTTTAAGACCTAATGCGACTGAAAAATTGAGAATTACTGCCAGTTGACTTGAATAAACACTTTGATAATTATGAAAAGGGAAAACTTTCTTTGGAAATATGAATTTTATTGAAATTTATAAAAAGTGATCATCGCAGCACATGTGGAGTTGTTAATTAGTTTACGATTTTTGTTGGTAGTAATGGGAAAAAGCAGATATGACAATAGGAGACATGAATAATGGAGGAAAAATATATAAATACACCTTCTCATCAAGTAAAATTGGATTATAATTAATAAGCAGGAAATACAAGGATCAGCCTTTAATATTAAAGTCAATGTGTCTATGAGAAAATTCCTCAAATTGTTCCTTGAGGTGGGTTGCTGATCTGTCTACTCTGTTGTGCCAGGCATAGCACTGGCAACGATTGCTTCTTATTAACTAATCTATCATTGTGATAAATATTTCATGGTAATAAGAAAACCTCATTTTTGAGGGGTAGGTGGATAACTCAGAGGCTCTGGACCAGTGAGCTACATCCCCAGCCCTATTTTGTATTTTATTTAGAAACAGGGCCTCTCACTGTGTTGCTTAGCTCCTCACTATTGCTGAGGCTGGCTTTGAACTCACAATACTCCTGCCTCAGCCTTCTGAGCAGCGGGGATTACAGGCATGCGCTGCCATGCCCCAACCTCATTTGATTTTTAAAATGCAATATTAAAGTTCGACTTTAATCCACACTTTGAGCCATTCTGAAAGTTCACGCACTCTCTAAAAGATATGTAATATTAATTAGAATAGTTCCTAAGCAATAATTAAATGCTGTTGTAAGTTTTCTATATTTGGGATAAAGTCATATCCATGCTGGTGAATATTTTAACATTTTCTCCACAAATAGTACGTAACTATTGGACCTTTTCAAAGAAGAGTACTGTTACAACTTTAAGTGATTTCCTTCTTCAAAGTTGATGTTCCATGCAACAATTTTTTCCAAAACAGTGAGAAAAACCCTAGCATTTTTTGCCTTTTAGAATTCAGCAATCTTATCAATGCAAGCCTTTGACTAGGGAAACCAGTTCTCAAATGGGTTTGAAATGGCTAGGGTGATTTCATAGGGGAAAAAAAAAGTATTCAGAAAAGACCCAGTATTAAGAAAAAATGAATGATATTCTGAATACTGAAATGTGAAAAGCTAAATTTCCCTGGCTTAATGGTTTTAGAAATATATATTTTATATTATATACTTCTATTTTTTAAAATATACTAACCTCCATTCTCTTAATTCCTCCAACCCCTCGACCACCATAATAAGAAGCATCCACAGTTGGCCATTTCTTGTTGGGCAGAGGTTCTTCTTCTTCCTATAAAAATATATTTTTAATATAAGCTTAATTAATTTTATAAAATATTGTTTAGTCAGAAGTGGCTCACATTTAAACATTTTAAAAATAATGCCATCATTATGGAAAATGAATAAAAATTATATACAGAACATCTATGTGTATTTATGTTTACAAATATAAAATTCAAGTGGAATTCTAAAAGGTATGAAGACTCCTTCCCTTCCTCAAACTTTAAGTACCTCCCCACATCACTCCTAGGTTATCAGAAGTTGTTTTTTTAAAAAAAAAACAACAACAAAAAAAAAAAAAAACCTCTGAGCATCACTGGTTTATTGCAAAATCTATTCATCAATTCATACTTAAAAAGATAAAACATTAAATTTAGGACAGCATTTCAATAATCACTTCAAGCATCAATGTATATGTATGTTTGAGATCTGTAGAAATTTTAGTAGAAAGATAGACAGTTGAGAAACTTTGCAAATGCAACCAGTACCTTCCTTAACTTATGTTGCTAATATGATTTTCACTAACCAAGTATTATTAAAGCAATAATCCGCCTGAAGAAGGTAATAATGTCCACACACTGCCATCTTGGATTGTCCAACATTTTATAAATAAGTGACATTAGGTCTATTAATATATTGCTATAAAAAGTATATATAGTCTCTACATACTACTGATCCTGATGACCAGTCTATGTCTACCAATGTATGAGGACCTCATTCCTCTAGCACATAAAAGAAGTCATGAGCTGAAAAATAACAATTGATTTTCATAAAGTAAAGAGTCAACACTTAGATGTCAGAGCTTTTTAAAAACAAATGGAATTGATTACATTTGGGGATGGTATCTATATGGAAAAAGACCACACATATCCTTTTCCTAGGCATTCATTTACCTCTTTTGGTGCAGGTGGTGGTGGTGGAGGAGGATCCTTGATAACCTGTACACAAAATAAAATAAAATAAAATAAAATGTAAACGTGTTATGACACAGGCATGAGAAAGTAAGAATGTATAAAAATATATAGATTGGTAAAATACTTCAAAGATGTCCCCAAAGAACCTTGCCTCATAATATTTATGGCCTTCCTCTTAAATCTGGGCATGCCTATAACTAGCTTTTGACCATCAGAATGAGGTAGAAATGGTCATGATAACTGAGGCTAAGTCAAAAGATTTTTCACCTTTCTACACATCATTGGAACACACACTCAGAAGGCTACCCTGAGACCATCAAGCTGTAAAGAAGACCACTGGAATCTTAAAGAAAGGTCAAGTGGTGATGGAGAGATACTGCCCCCAGCTGTTTTAGTCACCCCAAAGGATGAGCCAATTATATGAGAGAAGAGTTGATCTTGGACACAGTCACACTGAGCTTTCATATGACATGGGCTTAATTGACACCTGACTGCAATTGCATGAGATTCTGAGCAATCGTCTCCTTGCTGAGCCAGTTTTATCCACAGAATTGTGACAAAACTAAATTGCTGCTAGAATTTAGCTGCTTTTTACAAATTGACGTTTTAGCCAAGGCTCCATTCCTATAAATCATTGTCATTAAATTTTATTTGAATTATAGTTAATGCTTCTTGTGAGAGGAATAGACCCTCCACCTAATTGAAAATGAACTTCACTGGTCCTGGGATATCTGGACTTTCACTTCATCGTGATAGAAAGTTTTGATCACATGCCAATGGCTTTTGATAATTCAGGACCATAACCAAGTCTCTATTCTAAGAGGAAAAACTAAAAATGTAAATATTTATCTTCATCTAATGTCAAATATTTCAATTACATCATTAAATTTTTAAAAACTTAAAACTACTATGACATTGAAGATGAGGTATTACTGAATATATTACTATTTATCATGGTTATGTTTTTTTAAAGACTTTTTAAAATCTTTTAAAGATATACATAAATATTTCCAGAAGAAAATAGTATAATTCTGATTTAAAAAAAAAAAATAGTTTGGAATGGGGAAGTGGAAGGGGTATGGATGCAATAAAACTCACAATAAACTTGCAGCTGAGTGTCAGGGACAGGAGATTCATTGTATTAGTCTATCTCTTTGCAAAAGCTTGAAATTTTCCATAATGAAAGGGGTTTAAAACTCTAATTTTATTGATAATATTTAGAGAATTGGTCCATAATTTTCAGTGTATATAATTTTTCATTATTCAAATTTTAGATTAGCTCTAAACCTCAGGAGAAATACCCAGAGAGCGACAATTATATAAATATAACAGGACAGTAATTTAATTTGACCAAGTCTCCTTTTGAATCCTACAAGAAATTCTGTTATTTCTATTTAACCCTTTTATTTAGTTCCATTTTATTTTATCAATAAACATAATATTATATTATTATATGTATATTAAATATTATATAATATATTTATATTATTCTTAATAATATTGAAAGTTAAAAATCTGTGTGTTTTTTTTTAGTTATCTCATAAATAAATGCCTGCAGAGGATTCAGATTTAAAATAATACTGAAGTTAAACAAAATAAATTTAAGGTTATCAAGCTATAGGTATTTTTCCTTTGTTAAAAGAGGAAGTCCCTTCATATCATTACAAACTTGCATTCCCACAGCATGCGATGAAACCCAGATGTGTCAGCACTTCACTCAGCAAGATCCAAACCAACTCACTCATCTTCATTTAAAAGCCAACTCTCCCTCCCTACCTTCCTGTGTCTTTCAAGTTGGTCACTCTTTCCAATTAGAATCTCAAAATGTTAGCATAATCTCTCTCTCTCACTTTTGAAGGACTCCACCAAATCAATTCTATGTCCAATAGATTCCTTGAAATTCCCTCTCTCTCTCTCTCTCTTTCTCTTTCTCTCTCTCTCTCTCCCCCTCCCTCTCCCTCTCCCTCTCCCTTTCCCCCTCCCTGTCTCCTGTCTCCCCATGAATTCCTTATCTTCCCAAAGTAGCTAAGATTTCCTTGATATGGACAGAAAACTCTCTTCTCTTCCCCAACATTTATCAGCATACATAATGTTATTTAGCTTCAAAAACCTGAAGTTCCATAAGAACCAGTTTTATTTCTGCCTTGTTTCTCACTGCCTTCCCAATAATTCAGTAGATGCCTGGCACAAATCAGACTTTCAAGAAAATAAGAAAGAAGGAAAAAAGAAAAGTTAGGAAGAGAAAAATGAAGGAATTGAAAAAGGGATTAAAAATGAGAGAGAAATAAAAGGGAAGAAGGAAGGAAAGAGAGGAACAGCAGAGAGAGGAAGGACAAGGAAATTTCTACTCCATTCCCACTGTCACTACTTAAAATCATGAACTCAACATTTTCTGGATCTGAAAAATAGTGAGTACATTTTTCAACTCCTCCAATATACACACAAGCAAAACTTCAGTATTCTAAAATATTCCCACCAAATCATAGTCCAACTATGTTTGGACTGCTGCAACAAAGAGAAATTCACTACCTCACATAGCAATTCATTCCACTGGCAAGAAGTCATCATTTGAAAGTTTTTCCCCCAAATGATGCCAAAGCTTCTCTCTGCATTTTCCACTCTTAAGCCCTGGTCCTAGAGTCTGGAAATGGACATACACAGACACTTATAGACACACACACACACACACACACACACACATACACAATTTTTCTTACAGAGAAGAAAAATTCCTACTTTTGAATACTGGGATAATTACCTAATTCTGTTGAGTCTATCCATTTTGGAAGCTAAATATATCAACCATTTCTCATGAAATGATTCTGAGTTGTAGGTCATCTTGTTCAGTTTCTTCAATTTACATTAGTCAGTGTCTTAACTGTGTTTCTCAGAACTGATCATTGCATTCTTTAAACATAGGTGAGCCATGATAAATAAATGAATGGTACTCAGACAAAACAGATGCACCTCATCATTCCTCACCTCCCTCTTCTAAGCATCTTAATTAATAATATTGATTAAATTGATTAATAATCTATAGTCACTAAAGGCTTCTGGGAGCATTAATGCCTACATGCTGTACATGTAGTTAAATTAAACTTCTAGCTTGTTTCTTTATCACTAAACCAACCCTCATTTTAATCTATGTAACCAGGTCAATAGTCTTCTAACAGATGTCTAATCAATCATTTCTTTCATTAAAATGAATTAATAGTTCTGATCCCTATGATTCAAACCCATGAATTACTAAATTTTATTGAAACAAATTTACAAAACATGCTTCCCCTTAGGTTTGCAAATCATCATAAAGGGCTCTCTGGACTTTTCTCACTAAAGAAAGATTAATGTACATTCTTCCATTCCACCAAGACTGAGAATAATATATCTGAACTCATTCTCTTTTCATTGTGAGGATTTCAAATCTACTCGCTTATTACCTATATGTCTTACACAGATATATAAATTTCTGAAGAAACAAATAGTATCCCCAACCCTGATCTATATTATATCCACCTAATAATTACTGAAAATCCTCTTCCATAATTTTTCCTTTTTGTGTGTGTCATTATCCTATATAGCATCTAGTTTGGTACTGGTATGAGAAAATTAAGTTTCAATTTAAAACCCTCACATGACCACTTTGCTTCTGTCAAACTTACAACAGGATCATGAGAGACATCTTTGCAATCCTTTGCTTTACTGGAAATGCTAAGGTAGACAAAAACCAAAGCCCCTTTTTCTGTACATGTACATGATCCAGTATTTCTGCTCTCATTGTTCTAATGTCTCAGCATATACCAGCTGCTCCACAGTTCAGCCCTAACATCCTATCTACGAGCCTTTCTTTACATACACCTTTACTCTAACCAGACTGATGATCCCTCTGCTCCCCTCAAATATAATAAACCATTTCCTAACATGGAGACCTAATATGGCCTCATCCAGCCTTCCCAGACCAGTCTAACAACTATCTATTACTTTATCTAGAAGATTTAAACTTCTCAAAATATATATTCATGCACAGTTGAGCCATTCATACTTTATTAGTTTGGATTTTAGTGCTTATTTTGTGATTTTTAAAATATTCCTTTAAAAGCATAGATTTCTTCCTTTCCTTTTTTGTTTTTTTTTTTTTTTTTCGCCCTAAGGATCCACTCATGCTAAACAAGAGCTCTTCCACTGAGCTACAGCCCTAGCCTTCTAAATTGTAGATTTTGTAAGGGCAATGCTCATTTCTCCTCCTTTATTATAAATACCTTGAGTACCTAACAAAGTGCTTTTCAGAGAGCAGATACTGAAAATATGATTCAAAGTGAAGCAAAAAGAACTAGGAAAGTTCACAAAGGATCACAGCCAATCTCCAAATTTATAAGTAAAATATTAAGTGAATATGTATATAAATGATGGATAGATGTCCCTGAAATGAAAATATTGCTAGTTCCAAAAAAAAAAAAAAAATTAAGCACTAAGAGCTGGGGCGGTAGCGCAGTGGCAGAGTACTTGCCTAGCCCGTGAGGCACTGGGTTCGATCCTTACCACTGCATAAAAATAAAACTAATAAAAAAAGAAAAGAAAAGAAAATGAAGCATCATTTTTTTCTCTCAACCAGGGAAATGAGAGAATTAATGAACTCAATGGCACCTGGGAAAACATAAGATCATCCCAATTTCTTCACCTGGGAAATAAACAAGATTAATTATAGGTCCTTTCAAACAAGAAGATTCTAAAAACTAAAAATATGTATCACAATGCTTCCATCAGGTCTCTTGAATCTATGCCTTTCCATAACTAAGTAGGGCCATATGTCCCTGTACATTGTATTCATCTTATTCCAGAAAAGAAACTTAGGATTTGTGTTTTCCAATAACATGTAATTAATCTGATAAATGACTGACTGCATGAAGTTATAAATTTAAAGTGATTTTGAAGTCCAGGAAAGTATATTTTCTACATTGTTAATAATGGAAATAAAGCTCTTAAAGCTCTACCTAAATGAAATTTCAATATAATAAATTAAAAGATAT